GCGCCGCCAGCTCGTGCGCCAAGCGCCGGTTCTCCTCCTCCAGCGCCCGCACCTGCGACACGTAGAGCCACAGGCGGGAGTTGAGCTCCCGCAGCTCCCTCTGCTCGTTCCAATCCGCCCGCTCCTTACCTCCAACTATCGGGGGCCCCTATAGGAATCAGCGCTCCCCTCAACGTCCTGAGCGTGTCTCTGCCTTAAGGGAGACCATCCAGCTTTTCAGGAGACCAGGGTTCGAATCCTCACTCAGCCATGGAAACTTTCCCAGGGGATGACAATGGGAAACCACTCCTTCCACATAGACCTCAAAAATCCTGCTAGAGTTGTCATAAGTCAGAAAAGACTTGAGAGCACATAACACAGGGCCAGTCACCAATCATATGTGTTTTTTTAAAATTTCCAAACTTGTATCAGCACTTCATGTTAATAGCAGAGGGCCATGCCAGATTAGTCTGTCCATTGCAAAGTCAATGAGCCTGGAAGCCACTCCAAATGGATGCGGAAGATCACTTTCCATGTCACTTCTTTACTTTCTGCTTTTCCACTAAAAGGACTGCTCAGTAAAACGCAGAACTATAATGGCCAGAATCCTATTGCACCTTTACAGTAGCTATAAGTGTCATGGTGTAAATTGTGGTGGCTCCTAATTTCTCTTTTCCTGCTTCAGCCCCCCTTTCCCAACATTATTGTTTTTTTTCTCTCTCCAGAGAATCCTGTCTTCTCAGGATGTGCCGCTAATTTCTCTTTTCCTGCTGCAGCCCACCTTTCCCAGCATTATTGTTTTTTTTTCTCTCCAGAGAATCCTGTCTTCTCAGGATGTGCCCAAAGTAGGACAGCCTCAGCTTTGACATTTTTCCCTCCGAAGATAGTTCAGGCTTGAGTTGATCTAGGATCCCACTTGTTCCTCTTTCTGGTAGTCCCGGGTATCTGCAAAGCACCCACAGCACCACATTTTGAATAAACCAAGAGACGTGTCCATAGCTGTGACTGCTCATCTCCGTAGCTGCTTACAAGACAACTGTAGGTCTGTTCTTCTCCCCATGCCCTAGTCTCCTTTCTTCATTCTGCAAAAGCAAAGGCAGGTGATTCCTTTATTCAACCACTAAAAATTCATGCGCAGATACAAAAAAAAATCGACTTTGCCTTTTCTTCGTCTCTTCATTCTGGTCGGCCCGAAGAGTGTGAGAGACAGCTTCTCGCAAGGGCAGTGCGATCTCATACCATGGCCCAATCAATAGTAAGGCTGCTCCTAGACTCTTTGGACCAATCGGAAGGAAGGAAGGTTCTACCTGCCATTGGATCCCACCTACAGTTTTATTTGCCCAGAACCAAACCAAACACATTTCCTTAAAATGTCCACTTGCCACTATGGCGAGTCTCTACCCCTGCTCTACTTCATCTCCCAGCATGGGCTGCTTGAGATAGCTGTCTCATTTTGAACAAAGGTAGGGGCAAAATGTGTGTGATATAGTGGACAGAGTGTGAGGTGACTCAGGAAACCCAGGTTCAAATATTCACTCAGCCATAGAGGCTCACCAAGGATGGCAATGGTAAACCACTCCTTCAACATATACCTCACAAATCCTGTTAGGCTTCTCATAAATCAGAAAAGATTTGACGGCACATAACACAGAGCCCGTCACCAATACTTTAAATAAACACTTCATGTTAACGGCAGGCAACCATGTCAGATTAGCCTTCCTATAGCAAAGACAATGACTAAAAGCCACTCCAAATGTATGTTGAAGACCACTTTCCAGTTGTTGTTGTTTTCATTTTCTAATTTACTTCCTGTTTTTCCACTAAAGGGACTGCTCATCCCCCTCAGATAAAATATAGGATCCTATTGCACATTTACAACAGTGATTCGTTTCATGGGGTAAATTGTGGTGGCTACTAATTAACATACTGGCTTCTTGTCATGTGGCAAATTTCATGACTGGCAAGCGAGTAGAAGTGGCGGCTTGTCAATTAGTGGCAATTCACCTTTGTGATTTTACACCATTACATTTAGGCAGGCATAAATCTGCAATAGGATTTTGGCCACAGCGTACAGAAGCAATTAAAAAACACAACAGTGCAAAGTTAAGAAATACTAGTCACTAACTCTAATCTACTGTAGTTCATGAAACTTGTGGGACCCAGATGCCATCACTGAGTGGGGTAATGTCCACTGATATGATTAGGTTCCTGTAAGTGCCTATTTCTCTTCCAACCCCCCTCAGACTGGGGCAGAGAAATCCCCCCTTGTTATCTCTGATCATTGATTGGAGGCAAGGACAGGGATTACTGTATTTCGGCCCGGCCCAGCTAGAGATGGGGTTTGATCGGTACCTTGATGGGTACCTTCCTTCCCCTGCACAGCAGGAGGCACGTTACCTCTAGAGGAACCGTTGTAGCTCTGAAAAGAATGAACTTCTTTGGACATGTTGAACACCAAAATGGCAGTGAGGATGTGGGCTACCAACAATATGGTAGCAGCGGACTTGAGTTTTTAGCAAAGGCCTGTGGGAATTGTAGTCTCTCCCCCCCCCCCACGGTAATCTCATCAAGCTTTGCTCACATCGCCTTTAGGCTAACCCTTTTAAAAAAAACCACCATGTCCTGGTGTACCTTCCAAAAGTAATGGGTACCTTCCTTCCACTGCACAGCAGGAGGCACGTTACCTCTAGAGGAACCGTTGTAGCTCTGAAAAGAATGAACTTCTTTGGACATGTTGAACACCAAAATGGCAGTGAGGATGTGGGCTACCAACAATATGGTAGCAGCGGACTTGAGTTTTTAGCAAAGGCCTGTGGGAATTGTAGTCTCTCCCCCCCCCCCACAGTAATCTCATCAAGCTTTGCTCACATAGCCTTTAGGCTAACCCTTTAAAAAAAAAACACCATGTCCTGGTGTACCTTCCAAAAGTAAATGCAGCCACACACTGCAGGTTGGAAGAACATTATCTGAACAATACAAATTCTAGTAGGTTGTTCAGAAGCCTGTATGTTCCTTTCCATGAAACATTGCTGATCCTTATTTATGCATGTCTGCAACACAGCATTTCTAGTCTTTTAAAGTGCCCTGCAATTTCTATGTCCACCTCTAGATGGTATGTTTTATTCATCTTAGCTCTACAATCAGGTTTCTTTCTTTTGTTCTTTCTTTCTTTCTTAATTACATAACCTTCTGGAAGGTTAAGCAGCACCAGAAACAGTCTGGGCAGAAGAAGGGGGGGGGAATGAGCAAAACAGATTTTTGACAACCATTCTTTTGTTGTGATGAGAGACAAGATCATATCGAAATAACAACAGCAATTAGTGGGGCACGAATTAGGACTTCCTGTTAATTTAAAAATGAAAGTATATAGGATTAGGAATGCTGGAGTAATACCGTGATCTAACATCTATCTTTTTCCAAAGTTAAGCTCCACTGAGTTCAGTAGGGTTTACTTTGAGGTAAGAGAGGTGTAACTTGAGAAAAAAGTTTCCTAATTAGTCAAACTGTTCCAAGAAATAATCGGGCTTTCTGTGCTGAACGCTTTTCCTGGAAGATTCTCAGGTGTCTACGTTTTACAGCTGAACTCAGGACCCTTTTTATACATATATTAAAAAAATCTTTCCATGTTATTTCCTGGCAGCTAATGTTGTTCCAATCCTGTGATTTGGTGCATTAAGCATTATTAACGTACAGTATCCTGGTGTCTTTGGCAGCAGATCAGAAAAATAGAAGGGAATGCTCTCTAGTTCAAAACAATACCTCCCTCAACACATGGGAGAATGGTATAAAACCTGAGAATCTCTTGTAAAAAGGCCTTTAAATGCCCTTGAAAAATAACTTTGGAAAGTAACCATAAACAGTTTTATAATAATTGCACCAAAAAAGTAAAGCAGCTACTTGCCACTTTACTTTTGTTGTAACTACTTGCTTGTTACAACAGTAACTGATTACATATAACTTTGTTGATTGTAATTACTTACTCCCCACCTTTGCTTTACAGATATCTGCCAAAAATATTGTCAAGAAAAGGTGTTGGTGAATATAATAGGAAGGATCCCATCTGTCAGATAATCTGAAACATAGCATGCCTAGGTCAACCTCATATGAAAAGTTTAGTAATCCAGATACGTCAAACTTGCTTTCTCTCCGCGACAAGGTGTATTAGTTTTAGTACATTGGCAGTTATTTTCCAGCCCTTTGTCAGAGAACACTGCAATTCTTCATAAGCTTACATAGAGTAAAAAACAAAAAACAGAGGACAAAATTCCATGGCAAGCATCCTGCCGACAACTCCCAGTTTCCCCTACTGTATACTCCATTGGAAATAACATGTTAAAAGTAACCATGTTAGCTGTAATGCATCCTCTTTGGGAGTAACAAGCAGGACAATCCTGCTGGTGTAAGTATGTCTGGGAAAAATGATATCACCAGTAGGGGAAGATTTTCAGTAATTAAGGACTACCTTCTTTTCACCCGTGGCTTGTTTAGCATGCAAACAATCTGTTTCATCATGTAGAAGTCATTGGAGCTGCAGGACAGAAGGAGAAGGTGTTTTATTGTCAGAAATCAGTGTCACGTGATAACATTATTGGCAGGGTGAAATTTTCAGTAATGAGAGTTCCTCCTTCTGTCCCATGGCTCCCACAGACACCACGTGATGAAACAGCTTATTTGCAAGTTGGATAAGCTGCAGAAGTCAAGGGGGAAGTCTTTAATTCCTGAAAATCTCCCCTTGCTGGTGATGTTATCACGCTTCCATTGGCATAGTTATGCCAAAAGGATTTCAGGCAATTACTTTTATTTTTCTAACATTCACATAAGCACCTGGTTAAGGTTTACCCATTAATTTACTTATTATTTCCATGAAGCTGGTTTTGTTTAGGAGCATTAAGATAACAAGCAATTTTGGTCACTTTTTTATTTAAGGCTTTAATATTAACAAAATTATGGTGGTTTAAAATAAACGATCTTATCCAACACCAATAGCATTATTAACACAGTTTTGTAGTATTAAGGCTTGTGTGTTTCTGCTTTGTTGACAATAATCACTAACAACAATGCATATTGTTTTAAAATAAGGATGTTCTAATTATCTGTTTCCCACATAAGCTTGCTCACACGTTATGCTGCTGGATGTTTGCCTCAGTACAAACATCCCCCAAAGATAAGGATGTTCTAATTATCTGTTTCCCAGATAAGCTTGCTCACACGTTATGGATGTTTGCCTCAGTACAAACATCCCCCTCATTTATGGGACCGCCTAAAGTCCCAGAATTTTCAAACTTCCTTCTGTCTAGGTTCTGGAAACCTGCTTTGTATTTTCCAGAGGAGAGAATCTACAAAAAAGAAAGTCTGAAGATAATACCGCATTATATACCATAGAAATATGGTTTTGCTATACATATAAGCTAGTATCCTGTTGCCCAAATGTGGTGCAGAAGAGAAACATGTCAGCGTCCCTCCAATTTCAGTAAGCTTCCTGTCCCATACCTGTCCTTGCACTAACTGCAAGATCATCATAGAACCAGTCACATAATGGGAGATGGCCATAACTGCAGGGAGAGGTGCTTATACAATTCCCATACAGTTCCATGTTAATTCCACAGGATTTTGGCATTCATATTCTTCCTTCCAGGGCAAGACCACATGCTCAGTGGTAATATACAACCTGCTTTGCATCTCCAGGTACAGAAGGAAAGACGGCCCTGAAATAGTGGACATGGGCTACTAATTAATGAAAATGATATGGCACTAAATGAATGAACCCTCTGGCTCAGTACAGTGGTGCCTCGCTTGACGACATTAATTCGTTCCAGCAAAATCGCTGTAGAGTGAAAACGTCATCAAACGAAATTTAAAAACCCATTGAAACGCATTGAAAACTGTTCAATGCGTTCCAATGGGCTGAATACCTGCTTGTCCAGTGAAGATCCTCCATACGGCGGTCATTTTCGGTGCCTGTATAGCGAGCAATCCATCCTAGAAAACAGCGGGGGCATTTTGAAAGCCGGCAGCCATTTTGAAACCCAACGATCAGCTGTTTCCTGATAGTCGGAAAACGAAAAATCGGTTCCCGAAACAGGGAACGGATCAACGTGAAGCGAAAAAAACCAATCTAAACATCGTTTTGCGATCGCTTTTGCGATTGCAAAAACTTCAACGTTAAGCGGATTCATCGTTAAATGGGGTAATCGTCCAGCGGGGCACGACTGTATAAGGAAACCTCTGATATACATACATCAGAGGGTTCACAGACCACATGCAGAAACTTTTGAAAAAACACAACCTACAAACAGTATTCAAGCCCACCACAAAAATACAACAAATGTTATGGTCAGCAAAGGACAGAAGGGACCCCCTCACTACTGCAGGAGTATACTGGATGCCTTGCAGTTGTGGCCAAATATATACAGTATTAGAACCACAAAATGAAGCATCCACACCAGAATCAAAGAACATGAGAGACACTGCAGATTAAAACAACCAGAAAAATCTGCAGTAGCTGAATATGCCCTAAAACAAACTGGACATGAAATTTTATTTCAAAATACCGAAATACTGGACAACGCTGGGGTTAAAATCATCACAGGAAAGAGAATCTGTAGGGTCACACTCATATGCCAGGTTTGCCTCGGAGCTAATATGTTCCCAAATCAGTGGGGTTTCACCTGAGTGTGGAAAATGTGTGTTTTTGTTTGTTTGTTTGTTTTTTGACAATAAGTCCCAGAATGCTTGAGACAGAATGGCCACACTCTCTGGGAAAATCTGAGATATGTAATTTTAAAAAATGAAAAAATGTACAGTCTCCGGGGTTAATCTCTAGACACTTTCTGGTTTGAGATGTAACTTGTTTCATTTTTCTTGGAAGACAAGCCACACATTTCTATTTATCTGAGTTCCAGAGGATTTCAGTCAACTAACTGGCAGAAAGAGGGACCCCTTCCACTCAAAGGGTCTTGCAAAGTTGGATGTAAAGACGACAGTCTTTAAATCCCAGGTGTATAGAATGCATCTAGCTATAAACAGCCTCCTTACGTACAGACTGAAATATCTTGCTTGTTTGAACAGAACAGCTTTAAAAAGCCTAGCGGGTGCCATGTGGAATGTTTCACTGTGGTGTGTAAAATTTCACATTCCTGTACCAGGTTCATGATAGAAAGGCTGACGCTGCTGCTCAGCCTTTCATGTGGGCTTTTGCAAGGTGTTGCAAAACCCTTTATATAGCTTTCTAGTGTTCTACCCACTCCACTCCCCATCCTGAACTCTGGGGATCTATAAAGACCAAGGGGGATTTGAAGGGGTATAGGAAGGACCATAGCTAGCTCCACACATGGAGAAAGTTAGTGTGCCATTGCGAAACATAGTCAAGTATTCATTCAACAAATATTGCCAAAGGCACAGCCATCCTTTTGAGGAAAATCAAGGTGGAGAAGCCACTTTTTCTTA